GGCGTCGCGCCGCTCGAACGTGCTGCTCCCCGCGGCCATATGTGCGTCGATGCGGCGGGGCCAGCGCGAGTGGAACGAGGGTTGGGCCTTGTGCGGTTGTCAGCAAAGGCCGCCGAGATTCAGCTCGCTGTTTTTTCTTTATAGGCGTCTGCAACTTCCAAGCTGCGTATTCTTCTTGTATTATCGTCGAGTAGTGCAGGTACTCGGTGGGGGCAGTGTGTATTCTTGTAACATGTGCGTATTCTCGTATCACTGGCTCCGAGTAGAAAAAGAAAGAAAACATGCACGGCATTATAGCTCCGAGTAGAGGGGGCGGTCTGCTGCTAGGGGGAACCCGGAGCGCGGAGCCAACCCTCGGAGACCCGTGTTTACTTTAAGGCCCTTGCCCTGCGAATGCGCGCCCCCCCTAGCTAGTTGGCCTGTCCGAGGGTTTCCGGCAACCCAGAGGGAAACCAGAGGGTCCCCAGCACTTTGCGTTTCCGGAAGTTTCCAGGGAAACCAGAGGGTCCCCAGCACTTTGCGTTTCCGGAAGTTTCCAGGGAAACCAGAGGGTGTTTGGTGCTCCATTCTGTTTCTCTCGAGTTTCCCTCGGGAAACTCGCGAGTTTCCCTGAGTCTGAGAGCTGGTCTGGGGCAAAATCTGGGGCAAAATTGAGGAAATCGGCACGATACCCAGGTATTTTCCAGGTATACCGGGGTTTTCCAGGTATACCCGCAAAATACCCGGTATTTTGCCGATTTTGGCCCCAAAACAGCCTCAGACACGGCTCAGAGCCCCCCCAAAATGACGAATTCCACGGAGTTTCCCCGGGGTTTCCCGAGGAAACTAGAGGGTGTTGTAGGGAAACGAGCAGGAAACACGGAAAGGAAACCAGGTAGGGTGCGAGAGGAAACCCTCGGACAGGCCAACTAGCTAGGGGTCAGGGCTCTCTAGCCCGTAGCCCGATGCCGATCATCCGGCTCGCTGGGTGCGCTTCTTAGCTCCCCGGCCCTGGATGTGAGGTTACTGACTGCACTCCAAGTGCTCCAAATCTCATGTTCACACTGTCGTCTGTGGCCGCAAACTGTGGCCGCGAAACCAAGACCCTGACGGCTTGAGGTCATGAGAGAACTTGAGATAGGGAGGGCCCAACAGGAGAATCGTGCTTTTTGGGTCGGGTTGGGTTGTGGGCCTGGGTTGGGTTGTTCCGCGTAAGGTTGGGTCGTCGGCGAGAAGGCGAGAAGGGTGAGGTCTCGACCGCCGCCGCTCACGCCAGCGGACGGCCACCATCGGTGTTTTTGGCTTCGCCACCGTCCAAGGCGTGCGCCATGCGCTCGCTGGCATCGAGCGAGCAACGTGATCGACCGAGCGGCTTGCTGTGTGGACGCCTTCTTCTGGCTCTCGTCGAGAGCGTTTTGCGTCCCGGCGGGTGGGAGAATATGTGTCGTCTGATGTGTCACTGTGTGCGTCACATCGGTCTTGATAACAAGCACGGTCGATCCGTCGAAGCGATACACTCGTTCCTATCACGCTGGAAGGCTTGCACGGAGCTCTGTGCCGGCACACAGAAGAGCCGTGCGGCAAGAGAAGAGCTCGATGGGGACGGTGGCGAAGCCAAAAACACCGATGGTGGCCGTCCGCTGGCGTGAGCGGCGGCGGTCGAGACCTCACCCTTCGCGCCGACGGGACCCAACCTTACGCGGAACAACCCAACCCCCTACCAACCCAACCCAACACCAAACAACCCCACTGAAAGCACGATTCTCCTGTTTGGCCCTCATAGGGTCGATTCCGCGTGGTACGGGACCCCTCGACCGTCTCGCCCTCCCCTCTCCCTCGCCACCGTCACCGTCACCATCCCCGTCGCTACCGCCCTCCATGCCTGCCGCCCTTTGTTTCACACTCGTCTCTGCCATGTCCGCCGTCGCCGCCGTCCTGTCTGCTGCGCTCGGTGCTCCGAGGTACAGTCGCTTATTGTTGCTCAGGATTAGCTCTCGCACCAGGAGCAGGACAGCCTCCTGCTCGTTACTACTTACTTCAGTAAGTACACACACACCGCTCACCCACGCGCACCGGGCCTTGCACTTTAAATGCCGTGGGGCTCCTGTCGTTAGACGTGGAGACGCGAGGGTTGCCCCCCCTTGCCCCACCACCTCGTGTGTGTGGAGAAGTTTACCTTACCTTACCTTACCTTACCTTCAGTAAGTTTTTGTTAAATTTTTGAGAGTGCTGCGGCTCTGGGGGGAGGCGAGGGCCCTAGGGGGTACCCATGCGGGGGGGAGATGGGGTTTCCCAGCCCGCCGCAGGCGCCGATTTTTTTGGCATTTTTTCTTTTTCGGCTATTTTTTACTTGTTTCCATGGGAATTCGGCGTACTTGCGGCCATGCTATCACGCCTTGCGACATCCTTTCGGCGCTGCTGACCGTGCCATGCTGCTCAACTGACCGCCTGCATAGCTCGCGGCCTTAGTCTTCGGCATTCAGTGACGACCTGATCGTACGGCCAGTAGGAAGGTGTCCTTCCAGCGCGTGCACGCTTCTGGCGCAATGCGCGTCACCTCGGATTGGCTGCTGGCAATCTCGAGGCTATGCCTACACAGCCTCGCGCGCATGGGCAGTCAAGAGGGATCATGCACCTTCTCAGGACAGCGCCGGTGCCTCTCTCTTGGACCGGCAAACGTGGTGGTCTCGTGTCACCGATGTGGGACCAGTGCGGCATCGCGCCATCGACAGCTCTGAACTGCGCCTCACCACTGACCGGGAAGGCCGCCAAGTGGGTCAGCACCGGTCGCGCATTGTGGCAGCAGTCAGCAGCGCATGTCTGATAGCTAGAGCAGCAGCGTCAGGGTCGCAGGGTCGGATCGTGTCAAGCCTCTCGCCCGGCCGGCCGTGTGCAGACGTCGGCCTGTCTGCTGTCTGGAGTGATCTGTCGGCGGTCAGTACGACCGATCAGGTCGGAGTTTTCTGATGGTTGAAGGGTCTATCTGTATGTACTCCTCGAGATCTCTCCAAATCTGCCCTCTACTTAACCGTACTTAATCGGGAAGTCGGTGCTAGTAGAGACTAGTAGAGGGCCGGAGCCCCGTTTCCGCACTGCTGCGCGGCGCACGGTGCCTCCGGGGGCCCCCGCCTCCCCCCAGAGTGCTGCGGTGACCGCGGTGTGCGATGAACCGATATATTCAGATTTCAGTATTGTGTTTGTGACGCGAAAGGGTTAAGACACATACAGTGAGAGTAACCCCCAACCCCCAACTCCAGGGTGAGGGACTCACCCTCGATCGAGCCTCGTGCCTCATCACTGAAAACAGATAAATGCGCCCGACAGCGGAGCGCCGCAGGCTGTCACGTCAAGGTCGCTCCGTCAACGGACTCTGACTCCCGCCTCCTGGCCCGTCACATACACGCAACATGCGCAAATGTGAAATGTCGCACTATCCACATTGAGAGGCGTCGCCCGCGGCGTGTCCGCCGCCCCGCCGGAGTGCGCCCCGCCTCTATCGCTCACCTGCAGCTTCGCACCGCCATGAGCGCGAGGACGGCCAGCTGCTCCTCCTTCGCCCCGCCATGCGCGCATCCACCTGTCGAGCGAGCGAGAGGAGAGGGAGGCGTCAGGGGGAGGGAGGGGGGGTGGGGGAGGG